CAGCCAGAGCAGCCGGTGCCGTGTGGCGGAGGTCACCAGGGTCGGATCTGGTGGTGCACACACCCGCCCCGGTGACAGCCTGTCAGGAAATGTCTGGCAACATCCCTTTGTCCATAGTGGGTGTTGGCAGACCTGTGTGAAGCGTTCACACCCCGCGTCCTCCACGTGCCCTGGGCCCAGATGGGACACACTAGCCCCTTCGTACCTGAGGTCCTGGGGTCCCGGGCCCTGAGCGCACCAGCCCTGGCCAGCATGGGAGGCGGGGAGGAGGCGTGGGCAGCTCACAGGCCCCAGAGGTGGTGGTGGGCACCCAGAGTCCCACACGCGGGTCGGGAGCCAGCCCCACTCCCTGAGGCAGAGCCCACCTCCCCCGTCGCCCGCCGGTTGGTCAACCGTCCGTTTCCACTGCAGACGACGACAACCCCCCGGTGTCCTTCGTGAAGTTCTCCCCGAACGGCAAGTACATCCTGGCCGCCACGTTGGACAAGTGAGTGTGGGTCTGCCTGGGGGGCGCCTGGTGTGAGTGAGGCTGCGGGGCGTGGCATGTCAGTGTGGCCGGGGCCAGGGTCTTCACAGAGCTCCCAGAAAGCGCGTCTTAGGAGCAGTCGAGGCATAGTTTTCAAAAATGTTTGCACCAAGGGAACCAGCAGTTAGTGTAATGGCTATGTCGCTGGACTCCCACGTAGTCGACCGTGGTTTGTGTCCCTGACCCGGTGGCTTAAAACTCATGCCGGGCGCGTGTGCGTGCATGCCCAAGATCCCGAGAGGAGAGTGGAGGAGAAGGGATTGCGGCGTGACCATCCCCTCTGGGGGGTGGTTTCTCGCTTTCTGTCTCTCTGTTTCTCTCTGTCTGTCTGGCGAGTGCACACGCCCTATAGCGAAAACCTCTCCAAAAAAAAATGTTTGCACCAAGACATAGTCACGTGCAAGTCTGTCTTCTCGTGGACTTGGTGCAGCCCCGCTGGAGCATCACCCAGTTCCTTGTTGGGCGTGGGCTTCTGGGATGTGGGCTGACTGGAAGGAAGGCCCTGCCCTCCTGTGTTGCACATCCTGGTCCCAGCCTCAGCCCTGTCGTTCTGCATCTGGCCATGTGGAGCAGGCCCTGCGGTTGTGGAGTCAGCTCCAGGTGGTCCCCGTGTGCACTCGGGGCACCCCTGGGGACGGTGCTGGCCCCAGCTCTGAGGCCCACCTGGTCGGCGCGTCCCCTGGCCTCGGGGTGAGTGGAGAGCACCCTTCTAGGTCTTCCCAGACCTGAGGTGGCTTCCCTCGTCCCCATTGAGGCCGACCCTCGCTGACGGGGGCGACAACCCCGGCAGCTCCCCCTGTGTTTGGAGCGCTCACTTCGGGTGGGGAGAGGGTTGCTGTGGAGCTGCGGTGGCAGCGTGGGTGGGGGGCAGGAGCCCCCCACCCCCCCATGACCTATCCCCTGCCTTTCAGTACGCTGAAGCTGTGAGACTACAGCAAAGGGAAGGTGAGCAGGGGCACCGTCCTGGGCAGGGCTGAGGCGGGCACACGGAGTCCTTCGCTGGGCTGGCGTGGTGCCCGTTCTGGAGGGCGGATTTTGTGGGCCTCCATTCCTGGGGGGTGGACTGGGCTGCCTGGGTTCATACACGTTCAGAACGCCTTTCGGAGCCAGCGCAGTCCGTTACAGGCCTGCGTGGGGGGGGCCAAGGCCAGCTGGGGCGTGGGGCATGGGCTCGCTGACGGGGCTTTGCTGCCCTCCAGTGCCTGAAGACGTACACCGGCCATAAGAATGAGAAGTACTGCATATTCGCCAACTTCTCCGTCACTGGCGGGAAGGTGAGTCTCCCAGCAGGGAAGCCTCCCATTCCACTGCCCCTCGGAGAGGCTGCCTTCTCCGCTGCCTCCTGTCCGCAGCCGCCCTCTGTCCTCAGCAGCTGTGGCAGGGGGGGGCCCCGGGGCCGGGAGGGG